AAAAAAAAACGTCCAGACCCAGTCCAAATTTAATCTGTGTTTTTGAATTTGCGAACGAGTCTTCCGGAGAGAATCACGTTCATCTCTTTAATTCAATTTAATTGATCCCTCACCTCCATCACCTTCGCCCCGCAGCTGCAAATATCTCTCACTCAATCTCTTCTCCTCTCACGCTAAGATCAGAAAAGAGAGAAATCAAGCTCTCGTCATCTTCTTCGTTTTTCTTTTCCGATCACCTCATCCGTCGCCACTCTCGCTACTCCCAGATCACCATCTCCGGCGAGAGCGACCAACGCCGTGAACCAGCGTGAGCGACCATTTTTCGACGGGCACTTCCCTCCAACGGTTCACACGAGCAGGCCCTCCTCCCCGGTGAACTACTCCTCCATGCTGCGTTTTTCCGGCGAGCTCCCACAAGACGTCGTCTTCAGGCCCGACCTCAGGCGAGTTCTCCTCCATGACCAGCGGAGCTCTCTTTTCCGGCGAGTCTTCCCTCCTCCATCGAGCAGCCACCACGACCAGCTCTCTTCCGGCGTGAACGACCACCACCGCGCACCTCCCCCTCGTCACCATCTCCGTCCTCCATTAAGCCCGACGAGTCCACCTCCAAGCAGCCCCGCCGTCATCGATCCACGAGCAGCCTCAGGCCATCGATCCTTGACTCCGTTCGTCGAGCCCACCGTCGAATTCCGTTCGCGAGCAGCCCCGGGCCCGTTCGTCAAAGGTCCGTTCGAGATTTCTAAATTCCATTCGTCCGACCCGTTGTTCGGCCTGTTTTTCTTCCGTTAGCTCGTAGATATTTGAAAGAGGGTAACTTATTCAAATCCTCTCGTTATTCCGGTCGTGCTCGTATATTGCATGATAGATAAATTTATCATATGTGTTACCAATTATTTGTTTGAAGTCAGAATTCATTTCGAATTGTTTACCGGCTCGTATATGTCGTTTCGTTTATCGGGTTATGCTCGTGACCTCGTTAAACCGAATATCATGTTTTTGCTGTGTTGAACCTCAATGTGCTTGTTTATTTGCTGTCGAGAAAGTATATTGATCGTTGTCGAGTTTCGAACCATCCGTTTTGTATTCATTAATATTTTATGTGAAAATACGTTATTCGCTGATCTGTTGTGCCGCGTTTTAAGACATCTGAGGCTAGTTATTTGAAAATGTGGCCTTCATATGAAATGTACTATGTTCCGTTTTCTAAACCTAGGCCTTGGAATATCTCGATTCCGAGTTATATCGAATAAGTTGTGATGTTTACAAAAATGTTGCGCGTCCAGTTTTCCTGTTACCCGGCAGCATGTTTATAATTAAAATGCGGTCTGTTTATCGTGTCTTAATGTACTCGTATGAACTTACACTCTTCATGAAAGTTATAGATCTGTTTCTTGCCTTTCAAATGAGATAAATTTCATATCGATACGTGCTCTGTAGCTCGAGTTGTGCTCGTATGAAGTTAAACATGCATGAGTTGGGACTTATTACTTTAGCAGACATCTGATATGGAATGTGAACTGATTGTATCCTATCAAAATGATCTTAAATGCTTCTGTATTCTAAATAAAAGTTGTAGAGGCATGCTTAAGGTTTAATTTGAGACTTGAACCATGTCATTGGGAGGTCTGTAGCTCGTTCTACGTTGTATACACTGAAGTGCTGTCCATATCACATGTGAGTTTTTGACAGATTTGTTGAACCAAATGTTTTGTGTTTAAACTCATTGAACACGTGTTTAATTGCCAAAGTGACCTTCAGCAAAGTTGTATATATTTGAGTTATCTGTCATGTGGGTTTTGAATTTCATTAAAAACATGCCTATAGCTCCAGTTAGAGAGTAATTACTGAGGGCTGGTCAAGTGCATTACCCCAGTTTTGGACTGTGACTCATTTTTGAATGTTTGTATCACCTGCTGAATGGCCTTATTTTCTTTTGGTGTCTTCATAATAATTGTAGATTCATGTCTTTTGGTGGCCTTATTCATGTCTTTTGAGGAATCATCTCAAATCCTTCAAAATAATGACTAATAAAAAACGTCTAGTATGAATTTGAAATCCTCCAACTTCCATTATCATTCCAACATGCATGAGCATTTGAACTTGTAAATTTCAAATCTATGGATTTCAAATCCCTCAGCAAATCCCTCAAAACAAACGGAGCCTTAGTGAGGTATAATTTTGGATTTTTTTTAAGCTGTTGGATCATTCAATCCTATGAGTGTGATTTATTCTCATTTCTTTAACTATGACCCTTTCTCACTAAACCCAACCCTATATATACATATATAATTATATAATACATACTTTTTCGTTAACAGTTAGGTAGGTCAATTCTTCATATATTTTATACAAATACATATTTATACTGTGAAACGACGTAGTCTTATTTATTTAATATTAGTAATCAAGTCATTTGTGACGGTATTTATATTTGTTAAAAGAGTATAGAGGCTTAATGGCTAAAGCGACCTAATGGTTACGTCAGCCTAACACAAGACTTATTGTCTATATAAGGTTAAGCATTCACTAAAATAGAAAGTAAATTTTCGTAACTATTATTTTTTACTTTACTTTCTTTCTTTATTTTTTTTTAAATGATATGAGTTTGACACAAATAAATATTCTTGACAATCATTGCTAAAACATTTGTTTCTTTCGTAATATTAATTTTCCCATATAACTAATAAAATAATCATGCTATTTAGAAAACTAGACTTGTCAAAATGGGCTGAGGCCCGCGGGCCGCCCCGCCCCGCCAAAAGAGTGGGTTGGGTTGGGATATTAGAGGCTCGCTGGGGAGCGGGCCTAAACGGGCCAGCCCGCGCGGGCCGCGGGCTTTGGCGGGGTGGGCCTGGCAGCCCAATATAGATAGATTAATTACTTAGATTAATTACTTAGTCCAAACAAAAAATAAGTCCAAACAAAAAATAAATCAAGGCAGCCCAATAGATAAACAAACTAAAAGGCCCATTTTCATTTTCAATTCTCATCAATCTCGAATCGGAGGGGTTGAAGTTGAATATTCTTTCCAATCCTCATCCCTAATTTCCAATCCTCCTCTCCAATTCTCCATTCTCCATCCCTAATTTCACTTTACTTTTATGAATTGGCCGACTGTTCTTCCAGTACGAATCGAGCACGAAGGATGGGATGTCTACTGACATGTCGTGCTCCGGTGCCGACTCCAAGCTCCTCCGCGCCGGGCTCCGACAGTCACGTNCCAGCCCTCCTAGCCCGCTGCCCGTGGCGGGGGTGGGCCGGGCTGGCATTTTGAAGGCGCGGCCCGCCCCGCCTAATGGCGGGTTTCGGCGGAGTCTATAGAAAACTCGTAAAATCATATGTTACCATATAAAAGAAAATTATTCCAAACTCAATAATCCATATATATTTAAAGAGGTTAAACAATATATGTTGAAAGAGGTAGATGTTTAATTCATAAATAGTAGGTTGACTTATTAATTTTAAGATGTTAGCTTACTAATCAAGAATTTTTTAAAAAATTATTAAGTTTCAATTCTCCCGTATCATATTTTATGTATTATTGTAGAGAAAATTAATGAATTTTAAATCAAGACGGACGTCTGCATTCCAATTGAAAAGATTGTCCGCATTTCAAGTAAAAAAATCTCCAATCTACAATTGCGGTTAACTTGAAAAATACTATAATTTCTACATTATTCAAAAGCGATATGATCATTAATATGAGATGTATCAATACTATAATTTCTACATTATTCAAAAGCGATATGATCATTAATATGAGATGTATACATCTCATATTAATGATCATATCGCTTTTGAATAATGTAGAAATTATAGTATTTTTCTAGTTAACCGCAATTGTAGATTGGTGATTTTTTTACTTGAAATGCGGAAAATCTTTTCAATTGGAATGCAGACGTCCGTCTTGATTTAAAATTCATTAATTTTCTCTACAATAATACATAAAATATGATACGGGAGATTTGAAACTTAATAATTTCTTAAAAAATTCTTGATGTAAGCTAACATCTTAAAATTAATAAGTCAACCTACTATTTATGAATTAAACATCTACCTCTTTCAACATATATTGTTTAACCTCTTGAAATATATATGGATTATTGAGTTTGGAATATTTTTCTTTTAAATGGTAACATATGATTTTACGAGTTTTCTATAGACTCCGCTGAAACCCGCCATTAGGCGGAGCGAGCCGCGCCTTCAAAATGCCAGCCCGGCCCACCCCCGCCACGGGCAGCGGGCTAGGAGNCAGCAACAGACCCATCCTTCCCTTCTTCTTCTTCGTTCTTTCTCATCCCTACTGATGCATCTAACGCTCCCCCGGGTTGAAGGAATCGGGAAACAGTGACTCGCTACCCATCTCATCTCGACTCTCTCCTCATCCTCCTCCGGCCACGATGATATCCCCTCGTCTTTCCATCGATTAAGACAAGCCGCCGCCGCATGTCGCGAATCACCCTAGATTCAGACTCGTCAAGTCCAAATCCACGGAGCCACGTGACTGTCGGAGCCCAGCGCGGAGGAGCTTGGAGTCGGCACCGGAGCACGACATGTCAGTAGACATCCCACCCTTCGTGCTCGATTCGTACTGGAAGAACAGTCGGCCAATTCATAAATGTAAAGTGAAATTAGGGATGGAGAATGGAGAATTGGAGAGGAGGATTGGAAATTAGGGATGAGGATTGGAAAGAATATTCAACTTCAACCCCTCCGATTCGAGATTGATGAGAATTGAAAATGAAAATGGGCCTTTTAATTTGTTTATCTATTGGGCTGCCCTGACTTATTTTTTGTTTGGACTAAGTAATTAATCTAAGTAATTAATCTATCTATATTGGGCCGCCAGGCCCACCCCGCCAAAGCCCGCGGCCCGCGCAGGCTGGCCCGTTTAGGCCCGCTCCCCAGCGGGCCTCTAATATCCCAACCCAGGGGCGGCCCGCGGGCCTCAGCCCATTTTGACAAGTCTAGTTTTCTAAATAGCATGATTATTTTATTAGTTATATGGGAAAATTAATATTACGAACGAAACAACTGTTTTAGCAATGATTGTCAAGAATATTTATTTGTGTCAAACTGATATCATTCAAAAAAAAATAAAGAAAGAAAGTAAAGTAAAAAATAATAGTTACGAAAATTTACTTACTATTTTAGTGAATGCTTAACCTTATATAGACAATAAGTCTTGTGTTAGGCTGACGTAACCATTAGGTCGCTTTAGCCATTAAGCCTCTATACTCTTTTAACAAATATAAATACCGTCACAAATGACTTGATTACTAATATTAAATAAATAAGACTACGTCGTTTCACAGTATAAATATGTATTTGTATAAAATATATGAAGAATTGACCTACCTAACTGTTAACGAAAAAGTATGTATTATATAATTATATATGTATATATAGGGTTGGGTTTAGTGAGAAAGGGTCATAGTTAAAGAAATGAGAATAAATCACACTCATAGGATTGAATGATCCAACAGCTTAAAAAAAAATCCAAAATTATACCTCACTAAGGCTCCGTTTGTTTTGAGGGATTTGCTGAGGGATTTGAAATTCATAGATTTGAAATTTACAAGTTCAAATGCTCATGCATGTTGGAATGATAATGAAATTTACGAGCAGGCGGGCGGTGATCACCGCCCGTGCTCGCACCGATGGTGTTGACTTACAATAATAATAATAATAATAATAATAACAATAATAATAATACAGATACATATTTAGGCAATTAAATACACACATTATTTATTTTATCTATAACAATAAATAATTAAGGCAATTACGAGCACAGATAAAATAAACAAATTAAATTAATTCGGACAAATATCATAATTAATAAAAATAATCCCATAATTATTCATAATTAACGGGGCATTACAATTTACCCACCTTAAAAGGAATTCCGACCACGGAATTCGAAGACAAAAGAAAACTAACGAACTAAAAGAATAAGGCCTCCAAAACGAGAAGGTAGGGAATCTCCCTCCAATCTCGGCCTCCTTCCCTCAAGTCGTCTCGGACTTGTCATGTCGGCTCCACAGCACCTCCCCAAAGCTTACTGCCCGGTTTCACAGCCGATGGACTCCCTGGTCCAAACTGACCACCGGTACCTCCTCATACGTAAGGTCTCGCTCGACCTACAGTTCGCCGAAGTCCACCCCGTAGTCTGGGTCATGAATATATCTACGCAACATCGAGACATGAAACACACCATGCACCCTGACAAATCCGGTGGTAAAGCTAGCGGATCAGCCAAGTTCCTTGACTTGAGTAAGGATCTCAAAGGACTAACCGCATACGACAGCGGATCCTCGTTTTCCCCCAACCCAAGGTACACCACACCTCTAGTCTTCCGAAAGGGAAACTCGAATGGTATCATCCAGACGCCCGTTCGATACAAAAAATCACGAAACGGCCCACCCATGGTGAGAAATCGAAAAACACAACACAACATGCACACACGACCTCAACAGGTCTCATAGTGCCTCGACCGTGAGATCATCGGTCAAACATTCGTGGTCGACACGTAGAGTTGAGTTTCAGCATGGTGCCCGGGTCACGCCAAAAACTTACCCACAATCTCGACACACCCGTGACTTCTTGCCGAAGAGATTGTCACGGTACTGTGCAACCATGCACGTAGTATAGCCCCGCTATACTCATACTTACAACACACGATTTTACGACACCAACGTAGCCCCTCATGGCTCCGTTTGCTAGCCACACAAGTCCCCTATCTCGCCATCTCGAGAAATCCTCGCAGATGCATAGAAAACCTATCGATTACGCTTCCTTATCAAAACCATCGATCAAGGATGCAAACGCGGTTCGGTGGAACTTGGAACTCTCGGTGGTTAAACCGTCTAAAAGAAAATAAAATGGACGGTTGAATTTTTAATGCACTGTCCTCCGAGAGGCAACACGCTCGCAGGCGCTGCATATGCTGGGCGCCAGGATGCTCACGTGCACCTGTTCAGGGACCAGCCATAAGGTCAAGGTTTGGCCGATCACGCTGGCATGGAAGTTCCGTGTGTCCGGTGATGGTAGCTGTAGATTACGTGTGGGTCAACGATCGGCCGCGCGCAAGCTATCGTCTATCAGCACGGGCGTACACGCTTGACCACAACTTCGTGGCAACACCCAGTCAGGGTCGGCTTTCGGTTCAAAGTTTTGACAAGAAAATTTGATCCATGGTTTTTCTCAATACGAAAATTCTCGGACTTGGGATTTCACATAGGCTAAGGCAATAGCAAGAGAAAGGTTTTCCACAAATTGTGTAAAAATGGAGTTCATTCCAAACAAGCTTTTTGTTTTTTTTTTCTGTTTTCACGAATTCAAAAGTTTCAAGGTCTCAAAAATAACAGGGTATAAAACCGAGTTCCAAGTCCACTACTGTATTCCAACAACACATTCTAAATCGCAAACAGACCGAACGCTAGAGATAGGCACAAATCCTCAAAGGAAATCTAATGCGCCTACCCAGTCGAGAGTGGTACTAGTTCAGCGGCTCTCTCTGAGACACCAACTAGCTAGCTCACTTCGGCTCTTCCGATAACAGCGTCGGCCGTCACGTCAGCTCTTCCTCCGGTAGCTAATCGTGCCAGCAGTCCTGAACAAGCTCCACTCACCTGCATATTCTAGATTTCACACCTCAAGGTCTAGGCGGGACGTTTCTTTCATTGAAAAGACCTCGATCACGTCTTCGGGTATCTCCACTACGTCTCGGCATTTTTAAAGATAGTCTATGACGCCGCTGCAGAATTACAATCAGACACTTCGTAGCTGTCGCCATTGCCGTAGTTACACAAAAGAATCACCATTCGATTGCAGACATTCTCCTCGAGTTCTAGAGTCCGTTTTGATACGTCCGCTCCTCGATCTTCGGCTGACGGTACCTCGGCCTTGAATCGGTTTTCAATGATTTTACAGTTGCCCTCAGTTGATTGAACAGGTCTTCACCTCGTGATAGTGGTTGATCATCCTTCGTCATCCGTCGGTTGGGTTTACGGTTGTCGATGTGCAGCATTCCTTGTCATGAAGCAGATCGGCTCCTCCGGTGTTCAGGTTGGTTGTAACTCGCCTTGCTCGCATGGTGGCCTTCCTTGCTGCTCCTTTGGACTATTCCTTGATGCTCCCGAATGATTGGTGAGTCTCGGAGTGGATCGAGTAGCCGTTGATAAAGATGAAAATCAATTGGTTCGGATGAATAGAATGCTCAAACACAACAAAAGAATGATATAAGACAAGTAGAAAGCTGGAAATACTCGTCTTAATTGGTACATCAGGTTGTAAAACTTGATCTCGAAAATCTAAGCGAACATGAAACAAAGATAAGGGTTTTCAAAGGTTTTGCAAAAGTTCAAGGAAGTGAAAGATTTCTCCCGAAGGCCAAAACAAAATAAAAGAATGCAAATTTGTCAAAGTTTACAACAAAACGCAAGTTCGAGAATACAAGCGGCTCTACGCTTCACAATGTACATGCTCCAGCTCGACTACCCTCCTTAAAAGATCCTTCATAATCCTTTAAGGTAAGGTACCTTACTTGAATTAGTCGACGACTCCCGACCGGAGAAAACTGTTTCCGATGAGTCATACGATTTAACCACAACGAGATGAATGACCGTCGTTGGCCTCTAGGTCAAAATACCATAGTGGCTTGCGCCGACCTTTGAGTTCTCGAGTGCACAGACTCAGAGTTATCACAAACAAAAATCACCAACTTTGGGATGATTAAGGTTTAGCAGAAAACCAATATGCTTATCCTTCTTCGTACACAAAGTCTCTAAACAAAGTTAGTTCCAAGTATCAAATACAAGAATTGCACAACAGTTTGAAAGATAAAACACGGAAAACGGAAAGATTAGTAGACAACACACGATCTCGATTTCTCGGTCAGTTGCCCAATCCTTGCTCAGTTCATCCTCGTTCTAAGTGAGAGCATACTCACGGAATTCTCCCTCTGTATTGACCAAATGTCGAGCAGAAGAGTTCATCCACGTGAGGATTCAACCACATTCGTCCCCCGTAGATCCTTTCTGGTGTAGGTCACCAATCTCCTTCCTTCGCACTTGGAATGAAACGGCACGATCCTCTTCTGGCCTCAATGCCAGTCAGCATAGCGAACGATACCAGAATGGTCGAGTTAGGACTCTGCGTAAACAGTACGCTAGATCCACTTGAGTTTACCGAGTTATTCCGTCAAACTGCCAGCCTTCGCGGTCAACGTTCATAATTCACGCAATAAAAAGTAGCCATCGCTTTCCTCGAGATTTCGCCATCTTCGAGAATCATGTTAGCAATACTTCATCGATCAACAGAACTCTTCGGCATCAGTTGACAACTCGTTCGAAGCTTTAAATCCCAATCATCGCACTCAAATGATTGGATTCCACCACTGCTCTTCTGGTCCACTTGTCAGCTGCCCAAGACGTTCGAGCGATCCCGCACATTCGAAACTTCACGGTTGTCTAATCTCAATGAGGCATCTTGACGTTGGTCACCAGAAAGCCACGGTACACAAACGCAAGTCTCATCTATCCACGAGATAGCTCGCACAAGGTGCTAACTCAAAATTTATAGCGAGAAATTTCTAGGGTTCATAATTGAACTATGGGGATTCATTACCCGATTTTTCCAACGGTTTTTATTAACCACATAACGTAAACATAAA